AAGCCTTAATGTATGGTGTGCATACACGCTGAGAAGTTCAGTTAGAGCACTCACTCGAGTTGACAAACACCAAAGTAGTACCACACATGGTCCTTAAACACCTAAGCATAGCATAGGATAACATCCGGACAATTTGTACCGAAAACTAATAGCATACTAGATTCTGTGAAAACTAGTACCTAGTCCAGCGTCCCATTGCCCGAATCACTTCCTTGATCCTCCTCGGCAGGCTGTCGATCAGGTTTGCACACACCTCTGCCGGTATCTTGTCCCATTCCTCCTGCACCCTCTCCCACAGCTCCAGCATTCCACTTGGCAGCTTTTCGTACTTCCCCAGCTGCCTTTTCAAGTGTGCCCACAGGTGCTCAATGGGGTTAAGGTCCGGGGAGCATGACGGCCATTCCAGCACCGCGTACTCCTGTTCCCCAAGCCAGTCTTGGACCAGACGAGACCTGTGCTTGGGATCATTGTCGTGCTGGAAAATGACCTCTGAGGGGGGAAGCTTGAAAAAATCGATGGTCTGTTTGAGCTCATCTTGCAAGATGCTGCGATACAGCGGCCCATCCATCCTGCCATCTATCTTGCACATGAACCCCGCCCCCTCATACGTCATGCAACCCCACACCATCACAGAACCGCCCCCATGCTTAACTGTCTATTGGACTTGGTGGCTCCGAAGGCTAGTGCCCTCGCGAATCCAGGCGTACGCACGTCCGTCGGAGCAGTAGCGGTTTATCTTTGTCTCGTCAGACCAAATCACCCGCTTCCAGTCCTCCAGCGTCTAGTCAGCATGCGACCGCGCGAAGTCGAGATGATCTCGGATGTTTTTCGGTGAGAGCCTGGGTTTCTTGGGCTGATGCACGGCGATCAGCCCCGCGGATCGTAATGAGTTCCGTACCATCTTCGAGTCTACGGCGAGATCGTGCTTCTCCAACAACATACATGCCGCGTCTACAGAGCTTTTCGCCTCGCCGCTTGTAATCGCGCGTATTATTCCGCGCTGGAGACGGGTAGTGATTAGGCGGGGGCGGCCGGCCGTAGGCATCGTAGGTCGCACCTCCTCGCGACTAGTCTCGGCAGCCACTTTCAAACCGTAATCGTGCACGGTGCTCTTGCCTATGCCAAGAACTTTGCCTATTTTCCTAGTCGAATGGCCCGCACGCAACATGCTTATGATTCGCGCGCGCTTCCGCTCATTTAACGGCTTCATGGCGATGCGGTCGTCGGCTCGCTCTCGGACTAACTCCTAAGCCAGCAACTATTGCGCGTGACGATGTACACACCGAGTGACGGGGGAAAATAGATCTACTCTTCCGCTCGGTAGGAAATGTCCGCTTCGATAGTCGAGGAGTAAATTTCAACCCCACTTTCCGGTTGTGTCACAATCGCGCCAAGCAAGAAACGGTTGAAGCAGAACTCGAACACCTTGTAACGGAATGGCAAAAAACAGGTATTACTATTTTCGAAACATGTGTGGCATAGCGATATGTTTCAAAGTGTTAAACATCCGGGCAATTTATTCCGCCACTGTAGCTATGGAGTGGATAAAAGTTGTTGACCTTTACCCACTTCAACTTGCAACGTCTGTCATGATACACGCTGAGGGTGCCCTTGGTCCCCGGGGAAGGGTTATAGGTGCAAAGGTTGGGGGGTTATGGGCGCACTTATATGGTAGTGGTTAGTGACTGGGTTTCTAATATGGTATTGGAGCTGGGTGACCACCCGCGTTCAATTCCCAGTGTGCACCGTGGAGGTGTGCATTGCAGAAGCGCTTGTGTCTACCGCCTATCCTAGCGAGGGGGGGTGTCATGATACACGTTGGGGTTGCCCTTGGTCCTCGGGGAAGGGTTACAATTGCAGAGCCTAGGGGGTTATGGGCGCACTTATCTGCTACTTAACAAGCCCTTTTAACCCAGTGGTTAGTGACTGGGTTTCTGATAACGTCTTCATTCCCCTTCTAGCATGCACAACACTCAATGTGTGCTCACCCTTGTTGTGGTATGGGGAATTAAATATTCGTGTTAATATTAACAAGAGAAATGTTAACTAGAATGAGAGATACTAGGAGCTTTTGTGCAAAGGGGTTGTACTCTCTAAGAGTACGCACCTATCTAGCCTATAAGACATATATGTATATATATATATATATATATGTTTTGACACACCCCCTAGGCAAGATGAGGGGCAATGCTTGGTAAGAGACACACAGCTCAGGGTGGCACCACTAGTCCAACCTCTGAGGCAAGGGTCCAAAGACCAGTCAGCTAGAGTGCAAACTAAACAAGAGCAACCCAAGGCGGTACTACTAGTCCAGCCACTAGAACAAGAGCCACAAGGCCAATCAAGATAATATAGAAGAAGTACACAATCGAGGTCCTAGCAAGTGGGAAGCTACAGGAACTAGACCACGCTGTACATAGGGTCGCTGATGATCCTTAGGTGCAAGCGCCATCGTAAAGATATCAGCTGTGTTGGCACCTGCGGCCAAGTGTACTACGGGGGCCTGACGGTGCCGTGTAGCTCATGCAGGATGAAGTACCGCAGCTGTATGTGCTTCGCTCTGCCCTCTAGTCGAGGCTCCTGATACAGGAGAATGTGTAAAGGACAAGGGCAGAGCAAGGCCGCTCACCTAAGTTTGTGAGCAAGAAAGTCAACCAGCGGAGCTCTTGTGCCGCCATGGAACCGGCATAGATCTCAGCCTCACAGTTAGACTGGGCAATAGACGACGAGCGGGTGGATCTCTACGAGATGGCACATGCACCAATGGAGTGAGGTGGAGGGCGGTGGAGTGCGGTGGAGTGTGGTGGAGTGTGGTGGAGTGGAGGTGGGGAGCAGTGGAGAGTGGTGGAGACACCCGAAAGATGTGCCGGCTCAGAAGGGAGCCAAGGCCGGTAGGTCGGGGCGGCAGTGCGTCACGGCGGCGCAGCTACTCGACGACTCGGCGGTGCAGCGGTGCGGTGGCTGGACGGCGCAGGGCCGGTGCGGGCTGTGGCCGGCAGAGCAGGGGCTGGTGGCGCTGGGGGGGCGGCGAGTGAGGTGCCGGCGGGGCGCCCAGGGCTAACGGAGCGCACGGGGCTAGCGGGGCGCGTACGAGGCCAGCAGGGCGCACGGGACCGGCGGGGCGCGTACAAGGCCAGCGGGGCACATGTGGCTAGAGGGGCGCGACTGGGCTAGCGAGGCGCGCAGAGGGCCACAAGGGCGCGAACGGGGCCAGCGGAGCGCACGGGGCCGGCGAGGCTTGACGGGGCCAGCGGGGCGCTAACGGGCTAGCGGGGCGTAAAGGCGCTAACGCACCTATTGTCAGAAACTAGCTTAGCTAGGAAGCCATAGAATGGCACAAGGTTTAGCTAGGAACTAGGAGGAGCCATGAGAATGGCAAGAGGTTTTAGGTGCTAGGAAAGTTGAGGAGAGAAAAGTGTTGGATTAGAAGAGAGGGGAGTACAAGGAGGGGTTTGTACCCCCTACAGAAAGGTTCAGTAACAACCTACCAAGCCTATATTAAATTATAACTTATATAATTTGAACACACCCCCTAGGCTTGGTAGTCACATGCCCACACACACCCACACCCCCTAACCTAGCACCCCCATTCCAGCCACAGTGACAGCGACTCTAGGTCGGTCGACCCCACGGCGCGTGAGGCGGCGACGTCGACCGCAGGGGCTGCGGCGGCGACGGTGGCAGCGGCGGCAGTGTCGACAGCGGCGGCGGCGGCGGCGTGCGGCTGCGTGGCCCCGACGCAAGCGGCGACAGCGGCGGCGGCGGCGGCTTCGACAAAAGCGGCAGCGGCGGCGGCACCCGCACCTCTCGGTGACGTGGCCAGGCCCCGCGACGGTGGGACGGCCGGCGGGAGTCAGCCGTCGTCTGCGGAATGGAAGAGGGCACAAGGGAAGGAGGGGGGTGGGGGGGGGGGGGGGGCGCCACAGGCTGACATGCGGGCGGCCGGTCTAGCGGCGCCACAAGCGTCACGCGGCCGGCTGCAGCCCGACGACGCCGTCATGGAGCGGCGTCGATGCCGCAGCGGGGCGTCGACGTTGCGACGGCAGCACGACGTCGCCGTTACGCCGACCGCGTGCTGTCGCGTAGACGCCGCGGCAGCGTGACGGCGCCGTCACGTCGCGACAGCATCTTGACGCGACGGCGGAGCTGCGGCACGACGGCGCGGCCACAGCAGCTGGACGCGGGCGCCATGGAAGTCGACGGCGGCGCCGCGGCACGACGACGCGGCCACAGCAGCTTGACGCGGCCGCCATGGCAGCGCGAGATAGAGAGAGAAACGAGCACGCAGCGGAAACGCGAGGAGCAGGCCCCCGCGGAACGAACTGCTCTAATACCATGTCAGAAACTAGCTTAGCTAGGAAGCCATAGAATGGCACAAGGTTTAGCTAGGAGCTAGGAGGAGCCATGAGAATGGCGAGAGGTTTTAGGTGCTAGGAAAGTTGAGGAGAGAAAAGTGTTGGATTAGAAGAGAGGGGAGTACAAGGAGGGGTTTGTACCACCTACAGAAAGGTTCAGTAACAACCTACCAAGCCTATATTAAATTATAACTTATATAATTTGAACACCTATCTAGCCTATAAGACATATATATATATGTATATATGTATATATATGTGTGTGTGTGTGTTTTGACAGTCAACACACAAGGAAAGAAGTTGGGAGAGGGGAAGAGAATTTTTGTATGTTATGAAGATTCTGGTTCCCCTTATTCTCTGCATCCGATTTTTATTAAACCAACAAATCATCCACTGAATCCGTGTATGCCACCTCTAGATTGGGTGGATCTTACACGCTAAAACGAATAGTTGCGCAATGAGAAATTCCACGTGCCCTCCTCTGCTGAATCCCTGCTACGCGCAAATCATGCAGAGCCTCCACGAGTCGCCGAACGAGCCGCGTGCATTTTAGCGCTCTGTGCTCCCATCTTCTCCGTCACAACATCCCACCCCATTTCACGAGGAGTTGTACAAATGCAGATTTCATTCTAATGCCAGAACACTATCGGCTTCTCTGATTTGTCGCTTTCTTTTTGCCATATTAGTGCTTCTCGTCTACTCAACTTGTCGCGCGCGTCACTCAGAAGCCATGTCGGGAGTGTACGAGCAAGCGCAGGAAATTAAGAAGGCTTCACCAGAGGAGAAAGAGGTAAAGCTTCTCTTAGCCGGTAGAGGTTGCTTCCTCCACCTTCAGCATTTGTTCTCACTTGATGCTGTCTTCTCCACTTGCAGGAGCTGGAACAGCGAGTGAAGGAGGGGGAGACTGTGGTTCAAGGGGGCACCGGAGGAAAGTCCCTCGAAGCACAGATCCACCTGGCTGAAGGTAACGACATCATGTCTCAAGAAGAGTAACCCTGAGACCTGATACAAGGCAATGGTTTTTTGCTCAGGAAGCACTGAGTTCAAGCAAAAGCCTTGCGCCTGTGCCTGGTGTTTTGCACCATCGTTTCCAATTCTCAGGAAGGGCTAAGGGCGGGCGCACGCGTGCGGAGGATCTAGGGCGGGAGGGGTACCAGGAGATGGGGCGCAAGGGCGGGCTGTCGACCTTGGAGAGGAACGGCGAGGAGGCTGCCAAGGAGCAGGGCATCGAGACTGACGAGTCCAAGTACCGCACGCTTCCCAAGGAGTAGGACCCATGGCCCCAAGCAGCAGCAGATGATTGTACGAAAATGAGTGGAACTGTCGACATGATTCATGTACTCAAAATGTATATAGCAGCATAACAGGTAAATTTTTTCCCAGCATTAGAAGGCCATATCAAATTACTCTATCGTGGTATGGTAGCTACCACTTAGGAATATACCCTTCGAAGGTTAGTAGGTCGGTATCTCTACTCACACACACTTCGCCTGGCCATTGACGACCTTGCACTTCTTGTTGACGCCGCAGAGAATAGTGGCGCAGGGATCTGGGAAAACAGAGAGCGAGAGAAAGAGTGTGAGTCGAGAAGAAAATTAAAATCAAAAGCAGAGTAAACGGAGAGAGAGAGAGAGAGAAGCAGAGTAAACGTAGAGGGAGGGAGGGAGAGAGGGAGGGAGGGAGAGAGAGAGAAGCAGAGTAAACGTAGAGAGGGAGGGAGGGAGGGAGAGAGGGAGGGAGGGAGGGAGGGAGAGAGAGAAGCAGAGTAAACGTAGAGAGAGAGAGAGAGAGAGAGAGAGAGAGAGAGAGAGAGAAGCAGAGTAAACGTAGAGAGAGAGAGAGAGAGAGAGAGAGAAGCAGAGTAAACGTAGAGAGAGAGAGAGAGAGAGAGAGAGAGAGAGAGAGAGAGAGAGAGAGAGAGAGAGAAGCAGAGTAAACGTAGATAGAGAGAGAGAGAGAGAGAGAGAGAGAGAAGCAGAGTAAACGTAGAGAGAGAGAGAGAGAGAGAGAGAGAGAGAGAGAGAGAAGCAGAGTAAACGTAGATAGAGAGAGAGAGAGAGAGAGAGAGAGAGAGAGAGAGAGAGAGAGAGAAGCAGAGTAAACGTAGAGAGAGAGAGAGAGAGAGAGAGAGAGAGAGAGAGAGAGAGAGAGAGAGAGAGAAGCAGAGTAAACGTAGAGAGAGAGAGAGAGAGAGAGAGAGAGAGAGAGAGAGAGAGAGAGAGAAGCAGAGTAAACGTAGAGAGAGAGAGAGAGAGAGAGAGAGAGAGAGAGAGAGAGAGAGAGAGAGAGAGAGAGAGAGAGAGAAGCAGAGTAAACGTAGAGAGAGAGAGAGAGAGAGAGAGAGAGAGAGAGAGAGAGAGAGGAGAGAGAGAGAGAGAGAGGAGAGAGAGAGAGAGAGAGAGAGAGAGAGAGAGAGAGAGAGAGAGAGAGAGAGAGAGAGAGAGAAGCAGAGTAAACGTAGAGAGAGAGAGAGAGAGAGAGAGAGGGAGGGAGGGAGAGGGGGAGAGGGAGGGAGGGAGAGGGGGAGAGGGAGGGAGAGGGGGAGGGAGAGGGGGAGGGAGAGGGGGAGAGGGAGAGGGAGAGAGGGAGAGAGGGGGAGAGAACGGAATGTGAACGGAATGTACTAATCTACTACGACCACAAGTGGAATATCTCCAGTCTAAGGCGGAAGCATCTCGCGTTCACCTTTCGCATCTCCTCTACTCACTCTTACACTCGCCGTCCGTGAGACTGAGGAAGCGAGGGCAGACACACGTGGCGGCGCCAGCCACCACGCTGCAGCGGGCAGTAGCCGGGCAGCGCGCTTTGCGGCAGGAGGTTGGAGCTGGAGACAAACGGAGAGACACAAGGGGCGGGCGGGAGGGTAGGCGGAGGAGAGAGGAAAATGGATAAGAAGAAGCAGAAACGAACCCCAGTAGAAGACTTGTTGATCTCTTGAGAGAACGACGTGGGCAGGCTTATAGGACGAAGACGCTGAGAGAGTAACATCTTACAGTGGCTCTATAGCGAATCATCCAGGGTTTAGGAGGCGTACGTACCAACGCACTGCGTGCCCTGGAGCACTTGAGGGGGCGGGCAGACACACGCAATCTTCCCCCTCACCGCCTTGCACGTGGTGCCGCCAGGGCACTTGGTCGTCAGACAGCGATCTGCGCAGCGAGCAGCACAGAGTACAGAGATGAGCATGATGCGAGCAGGAGAAAGTCAGTGAGTGAGTGGCCTGCCTCAAGCTTTGCGAAAGGAGACACTTAGCAGGAATCAGGAAAACGAGCAAGATGTTCGACGCATCGGTTGAGCACAATTTTTCCCGTTGCTTCTCGTCGTTCGAAACCCAGCAGTGCCGTGAGTATGGATGGATTGACGAGTGCTCATACTCACCCTTGCACTCGTTGCCGTCGAGGTAGAAGGGCGCGCGGCACACGCACTTGGACGTGCCGTTGGCCACCTTGCAGGCGAAGTTGACAGGACACGTGGTGGCAGCGCATAGGTCTGCGATCAAATGGTTTGGAAGGACAAAAGGGAGGGGAGAGATGACCATGATGGGAGTGAGAGGGCGAGAACGAGAGGGATGGCGCGAGAAAAGAACAGCACTGCTGGCAGCCCCCATTCCTCCAGCCGTCACAAGGAGCAGTCAGAGAGGCGGTCTCTGCTGTTGCACTCAGTGCTCACCGAAGCAAGCGCCGTTTCGGAGGAGAGACGAAGAGAGACGAAGAGAGACGTCCAGAGCGCAGTCAGGGAGGCTGTGTCTCTGTAGCGGCACTCACCAAAGCAAACGTTGTTGCGAAGCACGAGAGGCGGCGGGCAGACGCACTTGACCTTGTCGCGAACCACCTTGCACGTGGTGCCGCCAGGGCACTTGGTCGTCAGACACAGGTCTGCCAGTGGTCACAGCAGGGAAACAGAAAGAGCCACCCCCGCGGGACGGCACAAGCACAGGCGTTTCGTGAGTTGACGCATCAATGCGATCGACAGAGTAACGGAGAGCATAGGCATCACGTGAATGGGATTTGATGTTGCTCGGGTCGGTTTGGCTCTCACCCTTGCACTCGTCGCCGTCAAGGTAGTATGGCGGCTTGCACACGCACTGCGCGGACCCGTTCACTATCTCGCACTTGCGATTCGTCATGCACCGCACCGCCGCGCACCGGTCTGGGGGAGAATGAGAGAATGGGGGTACCAGCGAGTCGTTGGCCCGCGCAGGACCACGGTAGCAGCAGGAGAACGACGGTGAAAAGAGCTGGAACGACGGTGAAAAGAGCTGGAACGACGGTAGAATTGAAACGGGGTAACGACGGCTCGTCAAGTGCTAGAACAGGATGTTGCTGGCGAAGTGCGGCGGTGTAGAGCGAGATGTCGCACCTGGGGTCGCAGCCGTCGCATGGGTCGCGCAAGCGACAGTGAGGAGGACGACCGCGACAGCGACTGCCAGTCGCTGAACGAGACGCGAGCGCGAAGCCATGTCTTGCGACGAGCGGATGGACTCCGTCGGACGAAAAGGTGTCGAAGAGACTCAGCAGGGACGAGTAGTAGGATACTACTGTCTCGATGATACGACGGCGAAGGTGTAGTTAGAAAACCGAAAACCGAGGAGTACCAGCAGCGGCGAACTGGAGTGTTCAAGTTACTAGCTAATGACTGTCATTTCGGGAAGTCGGAATATATATAGCTTTCTCAGTACGCCCCGCTCGCGGATTCTTTCTCTGTACGGTATACCTCCCTCGGTACGTCATGGTCGAGCTTCGCAGAAAGCGATCGGCGGAGCCACTGGTCTCTTCCGGTCGGTTGTGATGGGCGAGCACGAACAGGGCTCATCTCAACTCCTGCACGCGCTCCCTCACTCCCTCTCCCTCTACACGCGCCACTTGTCAATTTTCTTCCGTTTCTCAGCTCAGCAGCAGCAACAGCAGCAGCAGCACCTCTTCTCTCATCTCAACTCATGGCGTGTGATTTTACGAAGTTGTCAGAATTTCGTACCGTCACCACTCTGTAACACGGGTTTGTTTGACGGAAACCTACCCTAACATTTTCTAACCGCTCTAGAAATTCGAGCTGGATGCTTGTTTGTGCAGTATCTCATCCTCTACTCTCTCATCCGACAGCCGCCATCCTGTCCTGTGCCTGCCTGTCCCTGGTCCAACCCACCCCAACATCATCAACCTGTCAACATTTTCGTGCGTTACGAGCTGCGACGCGCAGATGGCGGCTCGAGTATCTGCCATTTTGGAGGCGCGCGAGGCTCCTTTCGGTTGGTCTGGCGGATGCTGCAACAGTGACTGTTACAAATTGACATCCATATCACTGGTCGGTGTCTGTTCACACTTCGCATGATGGCCGGTTGAGTGGGCCTCTCGCGCCAAAACTGGCATCCGACCATCACCTTTGTTCGCCTGCTAGATACGCAAGCTCTCCAACCTGGAAGCTGAACTTCATTCGCGATACACGAAGCGCCTTTACCGGCTACACCCAGATTTGTTGTCGTGGTCGTTAATCAATAAGGCCATATGTTATTCCTGGAGCCCAAACAAATCATGTATGTCTACCCGTTCTTCCTAATTACTCATCCACAAATCAACGTTCATTTCTTCGAGCGAACACTGGAACAGTAGTAAAACACGATGCATTGCCATCATCCATTACATCCTCATCCTCACCCCACATGGCATTAGCAGCTGGAGTCCATTGCACACGGCACGGACACACGGTGGTAAGAGCATGTTCCTAGGAGCTCTTATCAGAAAAAGCGCTCTTCAGATTCTGGTTCCGCCATTCCGAACCGCACTAAACCAGCTCTCGTCAGAATTGTGCTGTACAGTACCGCAAGCATCTGTTATGAGGCATGCCTGATAAGAGGTGTAGGAACACGCTCTAAAAGATGACCTAGTAAAAAAATACTCACTGGAGCTGGTGACATGGCACATCTGTATCAAGTCTTGCTACAGGGCATGATGTGGCAATGCATGGTTGGTGGAGAGCAGGGTCGGCCGATGGAGGTGGAGGAGGCAGGCCAAAGACCATGCGACAGCTAAAGTCCTCAAAGTTGGGCTCCATAGTGAGAGGAACACTGAAGGGGAAGGACAGGTTTACCAGAAGAGCGGAATGCATGTGGGGAGAGGGCACATGCAAGACACAATGCAAGGGGACAGCTGGTGGCGTTGTTGAGAGTCGTTTTGGTTGTATGGGGCTTCAGCCAACTAAACAAGTTCCATGCCATGCAACAACGAGTCCCCTGCAAACCCTCCCACTTGCCCATTCCCCCCCCCTCCCTCTCCCCCAACCACCTCCACATCCACCCTTTTCCCATTCCTTCACCAGAACCCACTGCAATGGTGCAACGCTGTAACCGCTAGTTCGTAAACAGAAATGCTGTGATGCCGTAACAGGGTAACGTACCCTAGTTCGTGCGTGAAGAAGTGCTGAGTGGGCATCTTGCACAGGTTCACGCACATGCCCACACACCCACTCGTCTCCAGATACCGACACCTCTCTATCCTCACACCACACTGCAGCTTCACCGTCCCTCCCGCGCCCCAATCCCCCCCTCTCTCCGCCTCCTCTGCCTCAGCTTCCCCCTCCTTTCCCCCTGCCTCCGCCCTTTCCGCCTTCCCCCCCGCGACTTCGCGCCCATCGACGGCTGGGATCTCTGCTTCTTCCACGTGGCACGGTCCCACAAGCCAGGAGAAGAACCGCGGAGTGATCGCCGCGTTCGCCTCCGCGCCCCAGTGCGAGAAGGGGAACAGGCGGCGGAACCACCCGGGGACGCGCGGAAAGCCCTGCAGCACCGCGGACCTCTGCGCCTCCGCGGAGCGCCCGCGCATGAGCGCGCGGGAGACCTCCACCATGCCCAGGTAGCCCTCCGCCCACGGGCGCGGGGACTGCCACTCCGCCACGCGCCCAAACGCTTGGCGGCAGAGGTGCATGAAGAGGAGGTCGGAAAAGGAATCGCGGTACTCGGGGGGCGGGCCGAGCGGGGGGCGCGGGGAAAGATTGGCGGAGGGGATCGTTGTACTAGGGGAAGGGCTGGCGGAAGCGCTGGGGGAAGGGCCGGGCGGGGGGCTGAGAGCCGGAGTGGCAGGAGAAGGGGCCGGGGAGGGTGGGACTCCGGGGGATTGGGGAGATGCGCGGCTGGTAGGATCATTGGTCGATCCCGAGCATCGTATCCTGAGCGCCGATTGCGCGGAACGCATCGATTGCGCCGATTGCGTCGGGAGTCGGGTTAATTGGGCCGGCTTGACGCCATGATGTGTCCTTCCCCGTTTTCTCTCTCTCGGGTTCGAATCGTACGAACTAATTCCGTGACGAATTTGCGGGATCGTGCGAGCAATGGCAGCCGCGTTGTATGGCAGCGATACGCGCGTGGTAGGACGACGGTCTAGTCGAGGCGGAGTCGCACGAGCGGGCGCGGAGGAGTACAGGGTGTTTGCCGTTGCCATTGTCGTTGGCGAGCTAGTATGCGTCGCAGGGCAAGAACATGCGATAGATGCGACGCTGGGAGCCGCGCGCAGGGGCACACCGCCAAGCGCGCCCAGTATGCGCGCGTACAGGGTGCTTACGCCGTGGGCAATGAGGAGCCACAGAGACACACCACGGAGAGCGCGCAGCCCACAAGGGCTCCCACACATCTCACTGGACCAGCACACATCAGTCAGCGGCGATGACGGGAAGCGAAAAGAGGTGAGTGAGGTATTTTGACGTCTTCAGAGGGATGCATATTTTACAGTAATAACGAAGCTCTGTATTAGGGTTTCCGCTTAGTAGTGTGTTATGAATTAATCAGATTAATAACAGGTAGTGTAATAAAGGAGTTGCGATCAGGCCTGTCGTTATCAGGGTATTTTACCCTGATTCCCTGATTTCACAGGGTATTTTTTTGGCCAACCCTTAATTTTCAGGGTTGGGCTTTTTTGAACCCTAACCTCTTCAGGGTTGTATTGTCAACTTATACATATTATCTATGTAGAAGTTATAGGCTAGACTGAGGTATGCTTCTAGTGAGTACAACCAACTAGTATTTGTTCTAGGTTTCCACCTCTAGTAATCATTCGTTTCTACGTTAACATGGTATCACGCTTAGGTTAGGATCCCCCCGCCTACCGCTTCCGCCCGTCGCGCCTCCTAGGCCCCGTCGCGCCCCCTAGGCCCCGTCGCGCCCCCCCTGGGCCCCGTCGCGCTCGTTAGGCCCCGTCGCGCCCCCCCTGGGCCCCGTCGTGCCCGCTGGGCCCCGTCGCGCCTCCTAGGCCCCGTCGCGCTCCCCCTAGGCCCCGTCGCGCCCGCTGGGTCCCGTCGCGACCCCTAGGCCCTAACGCGCCCCCGCTGGGCCCCGTTGCGCCTCCTAGGCCCCGTCGCGCCGCCCATGGGCCCCGTCGAGCCCGCTGAGCCCCGTCGTGCCTCCTAGGCATCGTCGCGCCTCCTAAGCCCCGTCGCGTCCCCCCCCTCTGGGCCCCGTCGCGCCCGTTCGGCCCCGTCGCGCCCCTCCTAGGCCCCGTCGCGCCCGCTGGGCCCCTTCGCGCTTCCTAGGCCCCGTCGCGCCTGCTAGGCCCCGTCGCGCCCCCCCTGGGCCCCGTCGCGCCCGTTAGGCCCCGTCGCGGCCCCCCTGGGCCCCGTCGTGCCCGCTGGTCCCCGTCGCGCCTCCTCGGCCCCGTCGCGCCCCCCCTGGGCCCCGTCGTGCCCGCTGGGCCCCGTCGCGCCCCTTAGGCCCCGTCGCGCCCGCTGGCCCCTGTCGCGCCTGCTGTTAGCGCTCGCCCGCCTGGCCTCCTCCTAGTGCCGCTCGGCCTCCTCCTAGTGCCGCCCGGCCTCCTCCTAGTGCCGCCCGGCCCCTTCCTAGCGCCGCCCGGCCTCTCCTCAGCGCTGCCCGGCCCCTCCTCGTGCCCGACCGGCCCCAGCAGCACCAGCCTGGCCCCTCCCAGCACCAGCCCGGCCCCAGAGCACCTGCCCGCCTCCCCTGCTCGGCCTGCCGTGTCCTCTCGGGCCCTGTGTCTTCTGCTTGCCTGCGCTGGGACGCCTAGCTGCTGCCCTACTGGAGAGTGCTGCCGCCGTGTCCCCGCGCCGCTGTGCTCCTGTGCCGCTGAGGAGCTGTGCTGCTGTGCCGCTGTGTCGCTGAGGAGCTGTGCCGCTGACCCTGCACGATGGCTGACTTTGTGCTCCGCCTGGACGCTGAGGGCCACGCGGTTGACTTCGCCGCCTGGCTCTCCGATCTTCGCCGCCAGCTTACAGGTCAGCGCCAGGATGGCCACTCTCTGGTTGTCCATGCTGATGGCTTGCTCCCCCGTCCCCCTGCACCTACTCCCCTCCCTGCTGACCCCTCCTCTGATGACCGTGAGGCTTTCTCTACTGCTGCGCTGGCCTGTGCGATCTGGGACTCACGCGATGCAGTAGCTCAGGTTGCTATTAGTCACGCCCTCCCTGTGTCTGAGCGCTCGCGTTTTGCTACTGTTGAAACGGCCAAAGCTTATTTAGACGCCGTTATTGCTCGCTATTCCACCCCTGCCTCCGCTTCTGCTGGCCGCTTGCTCTTTCCGATGCTGTTCCCAGACCTCGCTGCCTTCCCTACTGTCGCAGATTTTGCCACTCATTTGCGTGCCCTAGAGACTCGCTATCGCACTGCCAGCACTGCTGCCCAGCTCACTGCGCTCCCCCCTCCTTTCTGCATGACGCTCTATTTTATCGCTATGCGCCTGCCAGACCGCCTCGCTAGTGCTCGCGACCACTTTCTTAGCCAGCACCCGGGTGACCTCACCCTGACCGCCTTTGTCGACACCCTCACTGAGATCGAGACTCGCCAGCGCACTATCGCTCAGTCGAGCGGTGCGCCGCCAGTCTCTATCTTTCACGGCTGTGCCCCATCCCCGTGCACGTTCACTGACGTTTCGGCTGCGGTCGCCACGGCGACCCCTCTTACCGAGACGGCTGCTGCTGTCCACCCGCAGCAGCGCTCGCGTCGCAGTGGCCGTGGCCGCCAGGGAGGTAGGGGTGGTGACGCAGGTGGTAGTGGTCGTGGTGGTGGTGACGGTAGTCCGCCTGAGGGGACTACCACCGGTGGGCAGGAGCAGCAGTCCCAGCAGCAGCAGGACCAGCCCCAGCCGCAGCCGCCGTCCCAGCAGCACCCGCCGCAGCCGTGGGCTCGTCTCCCGCCTGGTTGGCCCGGCACCTCCGGAGGCGGTGGCCGTGGTGGCGGCCCGCGCAGCTTGGCGTCTACCAGCGGCTCCAGTGCTGTGACCTGCCAGTACCAGCTTCAGACCGGGCCTCTCCGCGGCACTCTGTGCCGCCGCCCGCACCCGACCGCCCGCTGTTTCCGCCGCCTCGACGATCTTTTTCGTCGTCGCTTTGGCCCGGCCCCGGACCTCCCTGACTGGCACAGCCTGCTCCGCCAGGGCGTGCCGATCTTTGAGTTAGACATGGATCAGATAGGTGCTGCTTTGCATGCTTTGTATGCTGACGCTTCTAGTGTTGATGGATCTTACTACCCTGTGTACTCTAGTTTAGGTGTTTCACCCTTGTGTAGCTTAGCTTCCCCTGCTGCGACAGGCGTAGGACTGCCTAGGTTGCCTAGTCTAGTCGCTGCACCGGCTCCGTCCCCGGCCCCCGCCACTGCGTCGCTGTCCTTCACTCTCGACTCTGGTGCTTCTGCCTGCTTCTTCCGCGACCGTTCCACGCTCACGCCGCTTGCTGCACCTGCTGTTGTCTCTCTCGCTGACCCCTCTACGGGTCCGGTCGTCGCGCGCAGTTCTACGTCCCTTCCCTGTCCGGCAGTTCCCTCGGGCTCCCTTACTGGCCTCCACGTTCCCTCGTTCTCCAGGAACCTGGTTGGTGTCGGCTGTCTCCAGGACCTCGGCGTCACCACCACGTTCCCCGGGCACGAGCGGTTCGCTGTCTGTTCTGAGGCTGTCTCAGGTTCCCCCCTTGCGACGTTCCCCCGGGACCCGGTGTCCGGTCTGTTTACCCTACACACCGCTTCCCCCCCGGTTGGTGCGTCCTCCCAGGTCGCTGCAGCTTGCTCGTGTCGGTCCCTCACTCACCCCTCCCTTCTCTGGCACCACCGCTTAGGTCACCCTGCTCTCCCGCGTCTGCGTCACATGTCCCAGCACGGTCTTGTCTTAGGTCTCCCCGCGTCGCTCCCTGCCCTTCCTCCCTCGACTGCGCCACCGTGCACGCCTTGCGTCGAGGGTCGGCTCCGCCGTGCTCCTCACTCCTCCTCGCTGCGTCCTGCTACTGCCCCCCTTCAGACCCTGCACTTGGACGTTTGGGGCCCTGCCCCCGTCCCCGGACCGCGCGGTGAGCGCTACTTCCTTGTGCTTGTCGACGACTACACGCGCTACACCACGGTGTTTCCCCTGGAGCGGAAGGCCGACGTGCCCGACGTTCTTCTCCCGTGGGTTGTGGCTGCGCGTCTCCACCACGGTCTCCCCGTGTTGTGTCTCCACTCCGACCGTGGCGGCGAGTTCGCCTCTGGTCGGCTTGGACAGTTCTGTCGTGCGGAGGGCATCACCCAGTCGTACACGTTGCCGGACTCGCCACAGCAGAATGGGGTTGCTGAGCGCCGCATGGGCTTAGTCATGGAGGTCGCCCGTACCTCCATGATCCATGCCGATGCCCCCCATTTTCTGTGGCCGTTCGCTGTTCGCTACGCGGCTCACCAGCTTAACCTGTGGCCACGCTCCCAGCGGCCGCAGGTTTCGCCGACCCTCCTTTGGACCGGGTCCCCCGGTGACGCGTCTGCGTTCCACGTCTGGGGCTGCCTTGCTCACGTTCGTGCCTCTGGCACGGACAAGCTCACTGCCCGCACTGTCCCCTGTGTCTTCCTCGGTTTCCCCCTGGACTCGTCTGACTGGCTTTTCTACCACCCGCCGTCTCACCGCTTCCTCCACTCTCGTGACGTCACCTTTGATGAGTCCGTCTCCTTCTACCGCCGCTTCCCTCACCGAGGTCTCCCAGTTGCCCCCCCCCTTTTCCTTGCTCCCTCTCCCCCGGTAGCCCCTGCCCCTCTCCCGCCTCGTCCTGCCCCGTCTGGTGTCTCCCACGTCACTCCCCTCCCGTCGGTTGTCCCCGTTGAGGAGTCTGCTGACTCTGGTGGTACCCCCGGTCCGTCCTTGCCGCGTCCCCCTTCCCCGGTGCCTCCGCCCCCACTGTCGCAGTCGCCGACCCCGCTGCCGCCGCCGTCGCCGTCGCCGCCGCAGCCGTCGCCGCTGTCGTCGCCGGCGCCGCCGCTGTCGCTGCCGCAGCCGTCGCCGCTGTCGCCGCCGCCGCAGCCGTTGCCGCCACTGCCGCCGCTGCTCTCGGCCCCTGGGGGTGCTGGTGTGGAGGAGGGTGTTCGTCCTGCGGCTTCTGGGGGTGCCGCTGGTGTTGGAGGGGGTTCTCGCTCTGGGGGTGTTGGTTCTGGGGGTGCTGCTGTTGAGTGTTCTGCCGACGGTCGTTCTGCCTCTGCTGGTCCGAGAGTTCCGGCCCAGCCGTCGTCGCCGCCGCAGCAGCCGTCGCCGCCGGTTTCCGCTCTCCGCCTGCTCGGCCTTCCCTCCCCGGACCGCGCGCCGGTGTCTCCCCCACCGCCTCCTGACCTCCCTGTCTACGGTCCTGTGTTCCCGCCGCCAGACTCGTCTCCGGCCCGTCTTCCTCCTCGTTCCCCTCCTGTGTCTCCTCCGCTGTCCCCTGACCCTACCCCTCCGTCTCACGTTTGGGCTCGCCGTCCCTCCCGTGCTCGTCCCGTCTCTCCTGTCCTGCCCACCCACCCTATGTTGCTCCGTTCCCACTCGTCTCGTCCTCCCCTCGCCCCGACCCCGAAGATGACCACTCTTCGGGCGCTGCTACACGTAGCAGCACAGCGTGACTACGAGCTTCACTCCCTCGACTTCTCTACTGCCTTTCTTCAGGGCAGCCTACACGAGCAGGTCTACCTGCGCCGACCACAGGGCTTCACTGGTACCTTCCCTCCTGGGACCCAGTGGCTTCTCAGGCGCCCGGTCTACGGCCTGCGTCAGGCTCCCCGCGAGTGGCACGACACGCTACGTGCCACGTTAGCAGACCTGCAGTTCTTTCCGTCCTCTGCTGACCCTTCACTGTTTGTGCGTTCCGGCCAGACTCCGTTCTACATCCTTGTCTACGTAGACGACCTGGTCTTCGCTACTCCTGACAGGGACGCACTGGCCTCTGTGAAGGCTGAGCTGCTGAAGAGACACACCTGCACTGACCTTGGAGAGCTGCGTCGCTATCTTGGCCTGCAGATCTCTAGGGACAGAGCAGCACGCACCATCACTCTGACCCAGTCACACTTGGTGCGTCAGGTCCTTCAGAGGTTCGGTCTTCAGTTCTCCTCCGCACAGCCCACACCTCTACCCGTAGACCATGGGCTCTCTGCTCCCGTTCCTGAGGAGCCAGTAGAGCCCAGTGGCCCCTACGCAGAGCTGGTGGGTTGCCTCATGTACCTGATGACTTGCACTCGCCCAGATCTCGCATACCCTCTCAGCATCCTGGCTCGCTTTGTGGCTACAGGCAGACACCGACCTCAGCACTGGTCTGCCGCTAAGAGGGTTTTGCGTTATCTTGCTAGTACATCAGGCATGGGGTTAGTGCTAGGAGGACGCAGGCCAGTGGTCCTTACTGGGCACACAGACGCTTCTTGGGCAGACGACGCTGAGACGCTCAGGTCGTCGCAGGGCTACTGTTTCAGCCTTGGTTCGGGTGCTATCTCTTGGAGATCCACTCGCTCGTCGTCTGTGGCTCAGTCTAGCTGTGAGGCTGAGATCTACGCTGGTGCCATGGCGGCACAGGAGCTCCGCTGGCTGACCTTCTTGCTCACTGACTTAGGTGAGCGGCCTAGCTCTGCCCCGGTCCTGTACGCTGACAACAGGGCCATGATACTCCTGTGTCAGGAGCCTCGGCTTGAGGGCAGAGCGAAGCATATCCAGCTGCGGTACTTCCTCCTGCGCGAGCTACAGCAGCGCCGCCAGGCCCGCGTAGTTCACTTGGCCTCAGGTGCCAACACAGCTGATATCTTTACTAAGGCGCTTGCGCCTAAAGATCATCAGCGGCACTGTGTACAGCTTGGTCTTGTTCCTATAGCTGCTCCCCTGTTAGGATCCTGATTGTGTACTCTCTATTATATATGCTTGTCAGACTGGCCTTGTGGCCTTACCTCCAGTGGCTGGACTAGTAGTGCCACCCTGGCTTGCTTCAGTTTTGGTTGTATTCTTGCTGACTGGTCTCCAGACCCGTGCCTCAGTGGTTGGACTAGTAGTGCCGCCCTGAGCTGTTTGCTTCTTGTTTAGTTTCACCCCTTGTCTAGCCTAGGGGGTGTGTCAACTTATACATATTATCTATGTAGAAGTTATAGGCTAGACTGAGGTATGCTTCTAGTGAGTACAACCAACTAGTATTTGTTCTAGGTTTCCACCTCTAGTAATCATTCGTTTCTACGTTAACATGTATGTCTGTGAACACTGAGAATTTCAGGGTTTGCGTTATCCCAACACTGAGTTTTCAGGGAGTAACGCGTACGAACCCTGAGTGCGACATCCATGTGGCTCACAATGCGGAAATTTAGGCGAAGTCCCCAATCTCCAGAGACATTCCCCCCCACACGCAATAACCTATAAAAATTGGTGAAGTCCTCAAACATTCCCTCACACACCAAGCAACCCACAAAAATCGGCTAAGTCATGTGTCGTACAGACATCCCCCTTACACACCTAACAACAACCCACAAAAATTAGCTAAGTCTTGATAGGCAGTGACAGCACAAAAAAAAAACAACTTGTACACAAGTTAACCCCCCTCCCACACTCCCACTACCAATAAAAAAGGCTAACGGTCAAGTCATAGAAGGGTAATAGCGACAATGCTCCCTTCTTAAGGAAAGTTTTTTTATTGCCCGTGTGGTCAACTGAAAGTCCATCAAACTTTGACGGCCACGATCAATCGCGATCGTTTCGACAAATTTCAGCCGTTAGATTATCGCGTATGATTAACGTCCCCGATTTGCCCATGGCGCTGCAAGCGTGAGAGGTTTTTTGCCACTGCCCCATTCGCCTCGATCCGCACCTCTCCCTCAGTTTCGCTTCCCCTCTCCCCTCCGTTTCGCTTCTCGCATTCCTCTCTACTGTATTTCGAAACCCCCCCCTCCCCCCACTTTTTCCCTCCCCGTTTCGCTTCCTCTCTTCCCCTATGTTTCCATCCTCCCCCTTCCCCTCCGTTTCGCTCTTCCCCTCCCCTCGGTTTGATTCCCTCCCCTTTTTCCCCCCATTTTTTATTCCCCCCTCGTGTTGAAGGCAACCCTGAATGCGTTCGGTTAACCCTGGGATTTTCAGGGTTCTTGATTTCTGAACACTTACAAATCAGGGTAGGCAAATTTTGAACACTGAGCCCTCAGGGTAATTTTTTTTTTTTAGTCGACAGCTCAGGGGTTTTTTTTTTTAAACGTCAGGCCTGGTTGCGATTCAAGATTGTCGATACAAATGATGTGTCGGGACGTGTCGTCGGTGTAAATAGTCCCGGACAACTCTGTTTTCACCGAGCGTGGCTGCGGGAGGCCAGAGGTCGTCGTCACTTGTGCGATCGACCCAACGTACAAGGAAATCGACAGCTACCGTGTCCCGATGTCCCCGTACGCGATGAGCGAGGATCTTGGACAGCGCTGTCGTCACCTCGGGAACTGGGTTGACCGTAGGATTAATGTGTTGTCGGTCGATATTGGTCGCGCTCGGAACGAACGGTCGCAGGAGTCCGACGCGGAACGAATCATGAATTCGCCAGTCGGTCGGCAGTTGCAGCTGGGCGGTGACTGGTGTCACCATGCGAATGATGCGGAAGGGTCCGCAAAATCTTGGTCGTAATTGTTGGAAATATCTCAAAGACTTAAGCGTTTCTGAAGTGTAAACATTACACTTGAGGAAAGTCATAACGGGTGCGCGAGTCAACGGAGGTTACACGAAGGGGCGGACAAAGAACACGAATGGACACGAAGAGTCGCAACCGGAGGTTGCGACTGACCGTTACAACTGCAAGGATGGTAACAGAACCGTCAATCGAGTCGCTGTGCGACTCGAGAAACCGATCCTTTAACTGTATTCTACAACTGCTTTACTTTCCTACTTTCTATATATTGCTGTATGCTTGTTTCTTTTAATCAATCACTTGTTCTAATATACTAGTACAAGGGTTCAACTACTCAACTTCCGCTGCACTACACAAGTCTTTTACAACTGGGACTTAGTCTCTGGAAAGATCCCAAGGGCTTTTCTCAGCCCAACATGGTATGAGAGCTGGTCAGAGACCAAACTCCCAGTAACTACACTCTATCTACAATCTGCAATTCAACGACTTCATTGATTACAAGTCATGGACAGCAAGGGCAAGAAAATCTCCACGGGCTCACCCAGTGCCAAAGACACTCAACCCGGCAACTCTGGACTGCACACTTCAGGACTGCAAACCGAGACCGGCGCTGCTCAAGAAACAACAGGAAGAGCACCGGAAATGGTGACCCCATCACCCTCTTCAAGCGTGGATCCAAACCTTATGGAAAGGTTCTTCAGCTTCATGTCGCACTTCGACCAGCAGCAGCAGACAAGGACAACTGCGCATTCAACACAGAGCAACGGAGGAAACATGGGATTAGCGCCGATGAGCCTCGACAACTCATCGTTCGGGCGACACAATCAAGCACCTACCTTTGCGCCTTATCACTCTTCACTGGGGACGTTCGAGTTCATGCCGCCCTGTGCCCAACCAACAGCAGCTGCATCACAATAGACACCAAACGAGATTTTAAGTCTCCATGCGCAGTTTTCACACGTGATTAAACTGCAGACATCCTCACCGTTTAACGGACATGACTTCTTTGCCTGGAGCTTTAAGTTCGAGCTGCTGATGGAGGCTGCGCATCTCTTGGGATACTTCAACGGGTCCCTGCCATTCCCAAGCAACGGCACTGCGAAAGACCAATAAATTTTTACTTATCAGTCGCTGCTGGCGTACACAGTCCTCCTGCGAAACCTGTCACCACAAGAGCAGCAAAGCATCAGAATGTATCGAAGCTATGGAAACTCCGCGGAACTCACATGGCATCACCTCAAGTGTCTCTATCAAGCAAACGACAGCGTGACACGAAACAGACTCATGCAGCAACTGACAACAATACAGATGAAGACCGGAGAAAAGGCGATGCAGTATATGAGTCGATGCCAGACACTCCGCGACCGCCTGCTTCGGTGCGGAGGAACAATCACTGAAGAAAGCTTCGTGACGCTTGTCCTCGCTGGGCTCGGGCCAGAATGGAGAACCACCCGCTCGCTCCTTCGCGCCCACGGACGAATCTCGGAGATGCACCTCTGCGCCGAGCTTCATGCTGAACAACAGGAGATGGACCTGTTTGAAGAAAGACAACCAAGAAAGCAGCAACCGTTAGTCTTCTACACTCAACGAAGGAACGATAACAACTACAATCGACGCAGGAAGCAAGAACAACGCGACAACAGAGGACTCACCATTGTGCCGCCGTTCTGCCACAACTGCCAAACATCCGGACACTCCAAAGTTAACTGCACACGTCCCCTAGCTAATCGTCCAGTAGACCCACAAGTCGCTTCCACTCAAGAAAGCCCGCCAAGGCGCTCCTCCACATCTGCGCAAAGTACACCGAACATTATCAACTGCATGATACACATCGACAGCTGCACACCCGGATCACCACCCACTTACGCTCCAGACGAAGAAGAACTGCCGCCGCCGCGCTCACAAGGACTTCAGGTCAACCCGACATACGTTGCAGTCGCCAACGCCGAACCCACCGGGCGAAACACCTGGTTCTTGGATAGCTGCTGCGGTCAACACATGTGCTCCTCCGGGCGCTTTGTGCTGCGAGAGCGACGCCTCAACCGCGATGTCATCATCATCGTCGCCAACAACGAGAACCTGAAAACAAACAGACAAGGAGTGGTTCAGTTACAGTCCATGGAAACAAACGTTATACTACAACTCAACGAAGTTCTCATCGTCGACAATCTGCGATACAACTTGCTCAGCGTCAGCCAGCTAATGGCAAAAGGGATTCACCTGGAGTGCGACTCGGACTCCAACGAATTTCGTCTTTACCACGGGAAGGGAGGTCTCTTCATAGGTCGAGCTCTCTTGAAGGGGAGTTTAAAAGGGACTTGACACTCACGGTGTCAGATACCGTAACCCAGTACCTGGGTCTGAACATCGTCGAAGACAATTCGGCGTTCTACTTATATGCTGGAAAATACGCAGGCGTCGTCGCAAAGAAGTTCGGACTAACACCAACTACAGTCGCGACTCCCTACCGCTACGGGAACAACAACGACACCTCCGCAAAACTCCCCGCGAAGCAAATCCAGGAGTATCAGCAGAAGCTCGGCTGCCTACTATTCGCAGCAGTAACCTGTTGACCTGACCTATCTTACAGCGCGAGCCAACTGGCGACGCATCTAAAACAGCCGGAACAAGAAGATCTCGAGGAATTAAATCGGGCACTACTCTACTTCGTCTCTATGCCGACGACCGGACTGACCTACAGTAAAGCAACAACATCGTCCGTACAACTACTCGGATACGTCGACGCCGACCACGCGGGAGACAGGGAAAATCGACGATCGAGAACGGGCTACATCTACCGACTGGAACCTATCGGGACTATCTCCTGGCAGTCGAGCAAACAGGAACTAATCGCACTATCTTCGGCTGAAGCAGAATATATCGCCCTCTGCACTGCGACCAAGGAAGGACTTTACCTGCGAGAGTTGCTCGAGGAAGCCAAGATTGCGACCCTGTCCGTCTTCTCACTCCTCTGCGACAACAAATCTGCGATCAAAATCGCGAACAAGGACGGCTTCGCCAACCGAACCAAGCACATCGCCCTGCGATACTTCTTCGTCAAAGATGAAATCGCGAAGGGGAGACTTCAACTCAGTTACTGCCCTACAACAGAAATGGCCGCAGACTACTTGACGAAGAAACTGGCGAAAGCAAAGTTCGACCACTGCATGCTACTGACCGGGCAGAGAAACGTCGCCGAATCTGGACACGTTAGCACTCCAGAAACGAAGGGGAGTGTTGGAAATATCTCAAAGACTTAAGCGTTTCTGAAGTGTAAACACTACACTTGAGGAAAGTCATAACGGGTACGCGAGTCAACGGAGGTTACACGAAGGGGCGGACAAAGAACACGAATGGACACGAAGAGTCGCAACCGGAGGTTGCGACTGACCGTTACAACTGCAAGGATGGTAACAGAACCGTCAATCGAGTCGCTGTGCGACTCGAGAAACCGATCCTTTAACTGCATTCTACAACTGCTTTACTTTCCTACTTTCTATATATTACCGTATGCTTGTTTCTTTTAATCAATCACTTGTTCTCATATACTAGTACAAGGGTTCAACTACTCAACTTCCGCTGCACTACACAAGTCTTTTACAACTGGGACTTAGTCTCTGGAAAGACCCCAAGGGCATTTCTCTGCCCAACAGTAATTTATTTGGGAGGGGGATTCCCAAATTTCTAGTGTTGAGCAGGACCAATTGCCGAGGGACAAGTGTCAAGTCTCGGCGTCGTCAGTCAGCTTGCTGCTAAGCCCTCTTTTGGCTTTTAGGATGGCATCAGCAGCTTTTTGCTGAGACTGTCAGAGGTTTTCGACGAACTGCTGAGACCCTGGTGCCGGATTTTCTATCGGTAGCGATAGAGGGGTTGTCAGATCTATCCCATAATTAAGGAAGAACGGGGACTGAGTAGTCGTGGCCGATGGGGCATTGTTGTAAGCAAACTGGATCAAGGGAAGGGCGTCTTCCCATTGGACCAGGTCTGCGCATGTCGTGCGAATCAACTGCTCCATCGTCTAGTTGCTGCTCTCAGTCTGACCGTCCGATTGGGGGTGGTACGCCGTGGACAGATGCAGACGTGTGCCGTACTGCTGCCAGGTTTTTGTCCAAAATTTGGACGTGAACCGTGGGTTACGATCGCTGATGATTGCCGATGGGATGTCGTATAGCTGCACGATGTTCATGAGGAACAGTTTCGCTGTCTGCTCAGCAGTAATTGTCGTCTTGCAGGCGGCGAAATGGGCCATTTTGGTCAACCGGTCAACGACGACAAGGATCGCGTCGTTACCGCTTGAACCAGCTGGCAGGCCAGTGACGAAGTCCATCATCACTTGTTGCCAGGGTCGGCTGGGTGGCTCGAGCGGCTGCAGCAATCTAGAAAATCAAAGTCGGGAAGACTTCATGCGTTAACGCGTGGCGCAGGAGGTGACGTACTGCTGCGCGTTTATCGGTAGGTCGGGCCAGTAACAATTACAACTCAGTACTTTTGCGGCTTTGTCGATGCCGTAGTGACCCGAGAAATTCGGGTCATGTGCCTCATGGATCAGTAATTCCTGTAGGGTATGGTAGGCGGGAACCCAAATCCGATTGGTACCGGATTTTAGATAATATGCCCCTTGCTTGATCGCTAGTTGAGGATGACTATAAGTGGTAAAGAATGGGTCAGTACTGTATCCGTGGGTGAATATGCCAATTAACAGCGGATTAGCTTGGGTAATTAGGAATGCGGCAGTGTGGACCGAGGGCCGACCTCTCGTTTGTATGTGAATCTGTAGTGGAAATTGGACTCGAGGTAGTCGAGCCAGCGAATTTGTCGGGGATTCTGTGTTGGTTGGGCGCGGATGAACTGTAGAGACTTGTGGTCTGTTCGGACTATTACGCCAGCGCCCGTCAGGTAGCAGCGCCAGACTTTGAAAGCGTGAATGATGGCGAGTAACTCCTTGTCGTGGACAGGATAATTTCGCTCGGCCGGGTTCAGCTTTCGTGACTCGTAGGCGATAAGGTGGAGGCTTTTGCAAAAGTCTTGTAACAGTACTGTGCCCATGGCCAAATCGCTAGCATCGGCGATCAGTTCAAGCGGACGGTGAGGATCTGCAATCCGAAGAACCAGAGGGGTTGTCAGGAAAAGGTTGAGCATTTTGAACGCAGCCTGCTGCTCCCCCTCCCACTCAAAAAACGTGCCCTTTTTTAGGGGATCCGTGAGAGTGGAAGTTACCCCTGCCATGTTCAGAATGAAACGGCGGACGTAATCAACAAACCCTAGGAAATTCTGAAGTTAGCGTAGATTAGCCGGCAGCTTCCATTCATGGATTGTCGCGATCTTCTTGGGGTCTATTTGAATAGCGTCGATGGAAATCATGTAACCCAAAAAATCCAATTCGTGTTTTAGAAACTCGCACTTAGAGCTCTTGGTGATGAGTCGATTCTGCTGCAGGAGAGAGAAAACTGCTTCCTAATCCTTTAAATGCTGCTCCCGGATTGTGTTGTAGACACGAATGTCGTCGAGGTACACGATGACGCACTCATCCAGCAGTGGCCGGAAAATCTCGTTCATGGTCAACTAGAATGTCGAAGGCGTGTTTGTTAAGCCGAAGGGCATGACCGTATAATCGTAACTCTCATACCGGGTTCGAAATGCCGTCTTGTAGCAGTTAGCTTCGTGCACGCAATGTTGGTGGTAACCGCCTCGCAGGTCAATCTTCGGAAAAAATCTGGCCCTGCGAAGCTGGTCGATGAGGTCGTCTGCACGTGGAATGGGGTAGCAAGACTTGATGGTAATCCGATTCAAGACGCGGTAGTCGACACACATACGTAGACCGCCATCTTTCTTCGTCTGCAAATGGTGATGTACTGGGGCGGACGAAACTTTTCTTCAGTAGGTAGTCCAGCTGGCGTCGAAGTTCATCTAACTCGGGCTGGGTCAGCCGCCATTGGGTCCGAACAGTAGGCTGCGCACCAAGGTCAAGCTCGATTTTGTGGTCATGCGGCCGCTGAGGTGGCAATCCCGCCAGTAGGTTGTCTGGAAAAATGTCGGTGTGCTTCCGAATCACTGTTGCCAAATCATCTGGTACAGCTGCGCAGAGTTTGTCGATGTCGGTCGGCGTGTCGGCAGCCGTTGATGCGATCCATCGGACGACATACAGTTGTGCTCATCGAATCATCGCGCGCTGTATAGTTACTGTTATGACCGTCGATGTTGTCGAGTCTTGACTGCTCCACTTGGGTAGCTGTCGCCACTCGCGACTCCACTTTATGCAACAATCTCCCGTCTGCCAGTCGATGCTCGGGTTGTATTCGCGCAGCCAATCGCATCCCATCAGCATGTCGCACCCATCCAAAGTTGTCGCCAGCATCTTCATCGTGAAACTGAAAATTTCGCCACAGGTAACTCTCACATAAGGAACGCGCTCCCGAATCACCAGTGGGGTGCCATCAACCAACATCGCGTCGATTTCGGGCATGCAGCGTTCCAACTGCAATTGGAGTTTCTTCGTTCTTGTCACATCCATCAAACCGTGACTTGCCCCCACCATCAACAAATATTTTTATGCGGGTTTCGCCAACTCTTCCTTCAACCAGCAAAGGGCGATCCACCGGTTCACCCCCCTAATTCAACAAGGAATGGTCGATAGCCCAAATCGGCACTATAACCTGGTGGGGGTGTTGGTGTTTGGGCGACTTAGTCAAGTCAGTAGGTGGTCCATCTGCTACTAACAATCTCCAATTCCCGACGTTAGCTAAGTTCTTCTTTAGCTGTGGGCAGCCCCTCACCGTGTGGCCCAGCTGATTGTAGTGGAAACAGCATCCGGAAAATACCCGATCTGCAAACACGTCCACGCCATTGATTGATGTGTGTTGGGGCTGGCCTCGAAAGCGATTTCCCTCCCGGAAACCCGCCCTCGCGAGTCCACACCCTGCGTCCAGCGCATCCGCGATTCGGACAATTTCGTTGAATGTTGGGGGGGTTCGCAGGACGATCTCTTGTTGAATCTCTGGCTTGAGATCACCCACATAGCGATCGATCTTCTCGTCTTCGCTAAGCCCTCCGATTTGATCGCATAACGCCAAGCACGAAGCCGTGCATTCTTGGACAGAACCCAACTGTCTCCACATCCGAAGCCTTGTGCGAGCGTTTTCGCGCATGGATATGTGTCTGAATCGGCTCTTCAATACTTTGCCCCACGCTTTCCAAGTGCGGATCGTGGCCGATCCAAAGATCGGTTCTGCCTGAACCGTTGATGAACCGTGCTCCCCATCTGCCGCACGTTGATTCCCTGCCGGGGCTCCTCCCTCGTCCAGATGCATGCGCCACCAGTCGAGTGCCGGTCCCCTCAGCAGCGATACAGCCAAGTTGACACGCGACGCGTTGTCATTTATACTTGCTGCTGTGAAGAAAATACTCCCCTCATTTATACTTGCTGCTGCGAACTGCCAACCGCTCACTTTAGTTGTTCTGTCGGTCGGGTTGAACGGCAGAGGCATAGGAGGTTTGACTTTAATGGCCGCTCGCGGCTCGCTGTGGACTTATTCAACTGCTTCAGTTGTCGCCGACACCCTTGCTTCGCTCGCAGCATCTTCGTCTCGGATAACAGGCCGCCCTTGACGCATTTCATCCTGCGTCTGGTGAAGCGACGAGTTTTCGTTGCGCAGCGTCTGTACTTTGCTTCCCAGCGACTCACTGTAGCCGGGCCTGCAGTGTCATCCCTGTAGCCGCCTTGGCTTGCAACTCGTCAAACTCCTCCTGAGTCACGTTCCTAAGACTACGATGGGCAGAGGTTTCTGGCGTCGTAGGCATGCTGGAAATTCTACCTGACAGATCTAAGGGTGCACACGCTTCTAGTTGGAGGAGCTTTAACGAGCTCACCTACCAACCGCAGGCCTGTTAGATTACGTGAATGCTTTACTCGAAGGAGAAACCTAGAACATATACCTGTTGGTTGTACTCACTAGAAACACACACCTAGTCTAGCCTATAACTTCTACATAGATCATATGTATAAGTTGACACACCCCCTAGGCTAGATAAGGGGTGGTGCTAAGCAAGAAGCACACAGCTCACGGTGGCACTACTAGTCCAACCACAGAGGCAGGGGTCCGAAGACCAGTCAGCAAGAGTACAAACAAAACTAAAGCAAGCCAGTGCGGCACTACTAGTCCAGCCACTGGAGGTAAGGCCACAAGGCCGGTCAGACAGGTATATATAGTAGCAAGTACACAATCATGGCCCTAGAAAATGAGAAGCTACAGGAACAAGTCCAAGCTGTACACAGTGTCGCTGATGATCTTTAGGCGCAAGCGCCTTAGTAAAGATATCAGCTGTGTTGGCACCGGAGGCCAAGTGAACTACACGGGTCTGGTGACGCTGCTGTAGCTCGCGCAGGAGGAAGTACCGCAGCTGGATATGCTTCGCTCTACCCTCAAGCCGAGGCTCCTAACACAGGAGGATCATGGCCCTGTTGTCAGCGTACAGGACCAAGGCAGAGCTAGGCCGCTCATCTAAGTCAGTGAGCAAGAAGGTCAACCAACGGAGCTCCTGTGCCGCCATGGCACCAGCGTAGATCTCAGCCTCACAGCTGGACTGAGCAACAGACGACGAGCGAGTGGATCTCCAAGAGATAGCACCCGAACCAAGGCTAGAGCAGTAGCCCTGAGACGACCTGAGAGTCTCAGAGTCGTCTGCCCAAGAAGCGTCTGTGTGCCTAGCACTAACCCCATGCCCGATGTACTTGCTAGATATCGCAAAACCCTCTTAGCGGCAGACCAGTGCTGTGGCCGGTGTCTGCCAGTGGCCCCAGAGCGAGCCAGGATGCTGAGAGGGTATGCAAGATCTGGGCGAGTGCAAGTCATCAGGTACATGAGGCAACCCACCAGCTCTGCGTAGGGTCCACTGGACTCTACTGGCTCCTCAGAAACGGGAGCAGAGAGCCCATGGTCTACAGGTAGAGGTGTGGGCTGTGCGGAGGAGAACTGAAGACCGAACCTCTGAAGGACCTGACGCACCAAGTGTGACTGTGTCAGAGTGATGGTGCGTGCTGCTCTGTCCCTAGAGATCTGCAGGCCAAGATAGCGACGCAGCTCTCCAAGGTCGGTGCAGGTGTGTCTCTTCAGCAGCTAGACCTTCACAGAGGCCAGTGCGTCCCTGTCAGCAGTAGCAAAGACCAGGTCATCTACGTACACAAGGATGTAGAACGGAGTCTGGCCAGAACGCACAAACAGCAAGGGGTCAGCAGAGGACGGAAAGAACTGCAGGTCTGCTAACGTGGCATGCAGCGTATCGTGCCACTCGCGAGGAGCCTGACGCAGGCCGTAGACCGGGCATCGGAGAAGGCACTGGGCCCCAGGGGGGAAGGTACCAGTGAAGCCCTGAGGTCGATGCAGGTAGACCTGCTTGTGTAGGCTGCCCTGAAGAAAGGCAGTAGAGAAGTCGAGGGAGTGAAGCTCGTAGTCGCGCTGTGCTGCTATGTGTAGCAGCGCCTGAAGAGTGGTCATCTTCGGGGTCGGGGCGAAGGTCTGGAAGAAGTCAACCCCATATAGCACGCCTTGAAGACAGGAGGCTCTCCAGGGGGGTGCTTCACCTTGAAGAGCCACCGACCATCGACTACGTTCACCCCTGGTGGGGGAACTGCGTCGACGTAAGTGCCGGTGGACCTCGAAGATGCCATCTCCTGCTCCATGGCAGATATCCACTGAGAGGCCCAGGGTCCCGAGGTGGCCTCAGCGTAGGTGCGAGGGGTCGGGATGTCGAAGGCGTCTGGGTCACCCTCTGGGACTAGGAGCATGGAGCAGAGATGGGGAGCGGCCTCGGAAAGGAAAGCAAGCTCGTACTGCCAGTCCTCTAGTACGTCACTGCCAAGGGCAGGTGCACCCCCGACGGACGCAAGACGGGCAGGGTCAGAGACCAGAGCGGTAGCGTAGTCAAGGCGGCCGGTAGAGGCGAAGTCAGCGACAGCAGCGACAAGCGCGTCAAGGCGAGAGACAGGAATAGACGGGTCTGTAACAAGAGACGCAAGGACCCGAGGGACAAGAGGACAAGCGGCACGGAGGTAGTCAGACAGCGGGGGAGGTGAAACAACAATAGACGAGGGAGGAGGCAAGGGGAGGAGGGGAGGACGAGACGAGTGAGAACGGAGGAACATAGGGTGGGAGCGCGGGACAGGGGAGACAGGACGAGCACGTGAGGGACGGCGAGACCAAACGTGGGAAGGAGGTGTACGGTCAGGAGACATTGGAGGGGACACAAGAGGGGAACGAGGAGGAAGACGGGCCGGAGAAGAGTCCGGGGGCGGGAACACAGGGCCGTAGACATGAAGGTGAGGAGGAGGTGGGGGAGACACCGGCGAGCGGTCAGGGGAGGGAAAGGCCGAGCAGTCGAAGAGCAGAGACCGGCGGCGACGACTGCGGCGGCGGCTGGTGCTCGACCCTCGAACCGGCAGGGGCACGACGACCTCCGGGAGAACACTCAACAGCAACACCCCCAGAACCAACACCCCCAGAGCGAGAACCCTCCCCAGCCACAGCGGCACCCCCAGGCCCGCCGGGACAGACCACGCGAAGAGCCGCAGGACGAACACCCTCCTTAGCGCCACCACCCCCAGACGCCAAGAGTGGTAGCGGCGGCGGCGGCGGCGGCGGCTGCGGCTGTGATGGCGGCGGCGACCGTGGCGGCGGCGGCGACGGCGGCGGCGGCGACTGCGATAGCGGGGGGGGAGACACCAGGGAAGGGGGACGCGGCAAGGGCGGGGCGGGGGAACCACCAGAGTCAGCAGACTCCTCAACAGGAACAACTGACGGGAGGGGTGTGACATGGGAGACACCAGACGGGGCAGGGTGCGGCGGGAGGGGAGGAGGGGCTAACGGGGGAGAGGGGGCAAGGAACAGGGGGGGGGGAACCGGGAGACCTCGGTGAGCGAAGCGACGGTAGAAGGAGACGGACTCGTCAAATGTGACGTCACGAGAGTGGAGGAAGCGGTGAGACTGCGGGTGGTAGAAGAGCCAGTCAGACGAGTCCAGGGGGAAACCAAGGAAGACACAGAGGGACAGTGCGGGCAGTGAGCTTGTCCGTGCCAGAGGCACGAACGTGAGCAAGGCAGCCCCAGACGTGGAACGCAGACGCGTCACCGGGGGACCCGGTCCAAGGGAGGGTCGACGAAACCTGCAGCCGCTGGGAGTGTGGCCACAGGTTAAGCTGGTGAGCGGCGTAGCGAACGGCGAACGGCCACAGAAAATGGGGTGCACTGGCATGGATCATGGAGGTACGAGCCACCTCCATGACCAAGCCGATGCGGCGCTCAGCAACCCCATTCTGCTGTGGCGAGTCCGGCAAGGTGTACGACTGGGTGATGCCCTCCACACGACAGAACTGTCCAAGCCGACCAGAAGCGAACTCTCCGCCACGGTTCGGGTGGAGACACAAAACGGGGAGACCGCGGTGAAGACGCGCAGCCACATCCCACGGGAGAAGAATGTCGAGCACGTCGGCCTTCCGCTCCAGGGGAAACACCGTGGTGGAGCGCATGTAGTCGTCGACGAGCACAAGAAAGTAGCGCTCGCCACGCGGTCCGGGGATGGGGGCTGGACCCCAAACGTCCAGATGCAGGGTTTGAAGGGGAGCAGTGGCAGGGCGAAGCGAGGAGGAGTGGGGCACGGCGGAGCCGACCCTCGACGCAGGGCGTGCCGCGTGGAGCAAGCGAGAGGGGAAGGGCGGGGAGCGACGCGGGGAGGCCTAAGACAAGACCGTGCTGGGACATGTGACGCAGACGCGGGAGTGCAGGGTGACCTAGGCGGTGGTGCCACAAAAGGGACGGATGAGTGAGAGACTGACACGAGCAAGTTGCAGCGACCTGGGAGGACGCACCAACCGGGGGGAAAGTGGTGTCTAGGGTGAACAGTCTGGACATCGGGTCCTGGGGGAACGTAGCAAGTAGGGAACCAGAGACAGCCTCAGAACAGACAGCGAAACGCTCGTGCCCGGGGAACGTAGTGGTGGCGCCGAGGTCCTGAAGACAGCCGACACCAACCAGGTTCCTCGAGAACGAGGGAACGTGGAGGCCTATAAGAGAGCCCGAGGGAACTGCTGGACAGGGAAGGGACGTGGAACTGCGAGCGACGACGGGACCCACAGAGGGGTCAGCGAGAGAGACACCTGCAGGTGCAGCAAGCGGCGTAAGCGTTGAGCGGCCGCGGAAGAAACTGGCAGAAGCACCGAAATTGAGAGTGAAGGACAGCGAGGCAGTGTCGGAGGCTGGGAACGGAGCCGGTGCAGAACCTAGGCTAGGCAAACTAGGCAGTCCTACGCCTGGCACAGCAGGGGAGGCTAAGCTACACAAGGGTGAGACACCTAAGCTAGAGTACACAGGGTAATAAGATCCAGCAACACTAGAAGTGTCTGCTTACAAAGCATGCAAAGCAGCACCGATCGGATCCATATCTAACTCAAAGATCGGCACGCCCTGGCGAAGCAGGCTGTGCCAGTCGGGGAGGTCCGGGGCCGGGCCAAAGCGACGACGAAAGAGATCGTCGAAGCGGCGGAAACAGCGGGCGATCGGGTGCGGGCGGCGGCACAGAGTGCCGCGGAGAGGCTCGGTCTGAAGCTTGTACTGGCAGGTCACAGCACTGGAGCTGCCGGTAGACGCCAAGCTGCGCGGGCCACCACCTCGGCCACCAACGCCGGAGGTGCCGGGCCAACCAGGTGGGAGACGAGCCCACGGCTGCGACGGCTGCTCCTGGGACGCCGGCGGCTGCTGCTGGGGCTGCTCCGGCTGCGAAGGCGACTGCGTCTGCTCCTGCTCACCGGTGGTAGTCCCCTCAGGTGGACTACCGTCACCACCACCACTACCACCACCACTAGTGCTACTACCTCGACCTCCCTAGCGGCCACGGCCACCGCCACGCCCACGGCCACGGCCACGACCTCCCTGGACCGCAGTAGCCGTCTCGGTAAGAGGGGTCGCAGTGGCGACCGCAATCGAAACGTCAGTAAACGTGCACTGGGAGGGGGCACAGCAGTGAAAGATAGAGACTGCCGGCGCACCGCTCGACTGGGCGATAGTGCGCTGGCGCGTCTCGATCTCGGTGAGGGTGTCGACAAAGGCGGTCAGTGTGAGGTCACCCGGATGCTGGCTCAGGAACCGGTCGCGAACACTAGCTAGGCGGTCCGGCAGGCGCATGGCGATAAAATAGAGGGTCATGCAGAATGGGGGGGGGGAGCGCAGTGAGCTGGGCAGCAGTGCTGGCAGTGCGATAGCGAGTTTCTAAGGCACGCAAGTGAGTGGCAAAGTTTGCGATAGTAGGGAAGGCAGCAAGGTCTGGGAACAGCATCGGGAAGAGCAGGCGGCCGGCAGAAGCGGATGCAGGTGTGGAATAGCGAGCAATAACAGCGTCTAAATAAGCTTTGGCCGTATCAACTATAGCGAAACGCGAGCGCTCAGACATTGGGAGGGCGTGACTGATAGCAACATGAGCTACTGCATCGTGTGAGTTCCAGACCGCACAGGCAAGCGCAGCAGTAGAGAAAGCCTCACTCTCAGCGGAGGTGGGGTCAGCAGGGAGGGGAGCAGGTGCAGGGGGGCGGGGGAGCAAGCCATCAGCATGGACAACCAGCGAGTGTCCATCCTGGCGCTGACCTGTAAGCTGACGGCGGAGATCGAAGAGCCAGGCGACGAAGTCAACCGCGTGGCCCTCAGCGTCCAGGCGGAGCACGAAGTCAGCCATCGTGCAGGGTCAGCGACACAGCTCCTCAGAGACACAACGGCACAGCTCCACAGCTCGGCAGGAGCACAGCGGCACGGGGACACGGCGTCAGCACTCTCCAGTAGGGCGGTTGTGGGGCGCCCCAGCGCGGGCTAGCAGAGGACATGGGGCCCGAGGTGGCACGGCAGGCCGAGCAGGCACGAGGAGGGGCCGGGCTGGCAGGAGGAGGGGCCGGGCGGGCGCACAGGGACCGGGCGGGCGCTAGGAGGGGCCTAGCACGCTCGGGGCGGCCGGGCAGGCGCGACTGGGGGTCGGGCGGGCTCGAGGAGGGGGGCGGGCGGGCGCTGCTAGGGCCGGCTAGGAGCGGGCTCGACGGTCAGTGGGCCGGCCAGGAGCGGGCGCGAACGGCCAGGGGGCCGGCTAGGAGCGGGCGTGAACGGCAAGGGGGCCGGCTGGGGGCGGACGTGACGGCCAGGGGGCCGGCTAGGGGCGGACGCGACGGCCAAGGGGCCAGCTAGGGGCGGACGCGACGGCCAGGGGGCCGGCTAGGGGCGGTCGCGACGGCCAGAGGGCCAGCTAGGGGCGAACGCAACGGCCAGGGGTCCGACAAGGGGCGGACGCGAGGGCCAGGGGGCCAGCTGAGGGCGGACGCGACGGCCAGGGGGCCAGCTAGGGGCGGACGCGATGGCCAGGGGGCCGACTAGGGGCGGACGCGATGGCCAGGGGGCCAGTTGAGGGCGGACGCGACGGCCAGGGGGCCGACTAGGGGCGGACGCGACGGCCAAGGGGCTAGTTAGGGGCGGACGCGACGGCCAGGGGGCCGGCTAGGGGCGGATGCGCCGGCCAGGGGGCCGACTAGGGGCGAACGCGACGGCCAGGGGGCTGACTAGGGGCGAACGCGACGGCCAGGGGGCCAGCTAGGGGCGAACGCGACGGCCAGGGGGCCAGCTAGGGGCGAACGCGACGGCCAGGGGGCGAGCTAGGGGCGAACGCGACGGCCAGGGGGCCGACTAGGGGCGGACGCGACGGCCAGGGGGCCAGCTGAGGGCTGACGCTACGGCCAGGGGGCCGACTAGGGGCGGACGTGACGGCCAAGGGGCCAGCTAGGGGCGGACGCGACGGCCAGGGGCCGACTAGGGGCGAACGAGACGGCCAGGGGGCCGACTAGGGGCGAACGCGACGGCCAGGGGGCCAGCTAGGGGCGAACGCGACGGCCAGGAGGCCGGCTAGGGGCGGACGAGAGACTAGGGCGCGGGCGGAAGCGGGCGAGGGGACCTAACCTACTCGATGCCATGTTAGATTACGTGAATGCTTTACTAGAAGGAGAAAACTAGAACATATACCTGTTGGATTGTACTCACTAGAAACACACACCTAGTCTAGCCTATAGCTTCTACATAGATCAGATGTATAAGTTGACAAGGCCAACCCCCTATCCGTCGGGTCCTCTCTCGATATAAACGTACTACTCTACGGAAGACTAAGCGAGCAGGAACGGAGCTCTGATACAAGCTGTTATGAATTAATCAGAATAATAACAGGTAGTGCAATAAAGGAGTCATGATTCAAGGGTGTCGATACAAATGAGGGCCTAGGCATTTATAGGCATGAGCAGAGCTAGCCGAGAACCACGCGAACAGGTTGGGGCGGTCCGGTTGGCGAAAGCTACTGAAGCACCACGCGTCTAGGTTTGGGTTCGCGAAGTGGTTCGGGACCAAAGAAGTTGGGTGGGCCTGGACCAAGAAGATTCGAGGGCGTACGCGCTGTAGTCGAGCCCAGTAAGGAAAAGGGAATTTCCTTACATAGCGACCCGTGCAATCAACGGATGGCTCGAGAAGTTGCGATGCTGATGAGTCACGTCACGAGTGAGCTCAAGATTACTTCCAGCTAACACGTGTTGTCTACACCGCGAATGATCATGGTGACAAGGACATGCGTGTGGTCGTTGCTGTTTTTCGCCCGCAGAATCTTCTTCCTTGTCACACTTCGACGCTTGATTCGCGGATCGCGAATTTGACTTCCGCACCGCGCCATTTTGCTTCGATTCCATTCCCCCCCAAGAGTGCCCACCGCACTGCACACCTCGAATGGCGCCACTTCCTCTCCCCGACTGCTGCACCTCCCCAAATCTCCCGCGGCGACTGAACCAATTCCCCCCGTCATTCCGCGCCATTCCTCTCGCGCCATGGCGCGCCATTGCGCCCACCAATGAATCATCTGCCCCATTCGCCCCACGGCGCAACTGCCTGTTGCGCCAGTCACTTCACTACAGCTGCGCGAGGAATCTAGTGGGTGGAATCTCCCCCCCGCAGCAGAACAAACCTCCACACAACCCCACGCCATTGCAAGCCCTGTCAAACGGCCGTGTTGATTTCCCCGTTTATGAGCTGCTGCCATTCCGCGATTCGTTCCTTCCCGCGATTCATGTGTTTTCCGCGTTGATGAGCTGGTCCGCGATTTATTGAACTAAACTGATGCTTATCACACGAGGCTAACTCGCTCGCCGCAGCAGCAATTTCAGCGCCATCAGTTCGTCGCCTCCCACATACTTCCAGTGCTATTTCCGCTAGCATTACAGCAGCAGCAGCAGCAGGGGGGAAGTAGGTCTCGCCCACGCAGCGGCAAGCCACATCGCTCTGCCGACTTTCGTACAGTATCTGAGGCAGCTTTTGAGGCGCCTCGTACAGTATCTGAGGCAGGGACCAGAATGGCAGTCGCCGCCGTTAACGCCGTTCAAAGCGGCGCCCTCACCGCTCGCCTCGCCTCCGCACAGCCCGCCGCAACTTCCGCCATTGGTGGCTCCGGATCTTCCTCTTCCGCGTCCTCCCGCGGCTCCCGTCTAACACTGGCGCAGTCCGCCGTTCCCGCCTCGGGGCTGTTGTCCGCAAGGCCCACTCTTACGCGCACACTTGCGCCGACCTTACCGCTACTGCGCGATGGGTACTCCTCGTGTCGCGCCAACAAGCGATCTCCAACGGTAACGGTAACGGTAACGGCGACGATAGCGGGTTATGGCATACCAGATTACTCCAGCCCTTCAGCGGGAGATGCGGCGAGAACTGCGGGCAGCCCTGGCGCCGCAGCAAAGCCCTCCGCTTCCGCAAGCCCTGCGGCTGGCGCGCCCAGCGGGGGTAGCAGCAGCGGGGGGAGTATCGGCGGAAGTTCCAGCAGCGGGAAGGGGGGGACGAAGAAGGTCGGGGGCGACTCGAAGCTTGTGTTCCGGAACCCGTGGGAGTATCAGGCGCCGGCGAACTACACCTCGCCGCAGAGGTGAGTGCATTAACGGGGAGGTGGTATAATAGTCGTGGTTTGAGAAGGGAGGGGACGTCTCGAAAGGTGGCTCAGAAGGAAAGTCAGTGGTCCGGAACCGGCGGTTGGGAGTATCAGTCCCCGGCGAACTACGCCTCGCCGCGGAGGTGAGTGGCGTGTCACCGTGGAACTGAATCTGTTTTTGAGGCGCCTCGATAAACAGACCCCTCAATATTAGATTCCTCTCCGCGGAGGTGAGTGACCTGGCCTGGCCTTCCATGGTGGGATTTTGGGCCTGCGCAATCAGAGGCTTGGATCTTATCTTCTCTCATGATGATATTGCCGTTTTGGGTATTGCGTGTTGCTGTTTCTTCTTTCTCTTTCTCTCTCAAGCGGTCCTTTATTATGTTTATAAGGGGTACAGAGGTACAAACGGGGTTGTGTATGTCCTAGTGTCCCCGAGCATCCTACTGCTGCCCGGGCCACCTGTCGCAGGTAGGTTCAATGGTGGCTTCCAGTTCTCCCCAGGTAAGAGGTTCGTCTAGGGGGCGGTCGTGGCTGAAAGCTTGGCCTGTCACCTGGCCAATTTTCGCATGGAGGGTGATTGCCTGCTGCCGCTGGAGGGTGACTGACCACCTCTGGCGGTAGCTGTGCAGTACCTTCTTTGCCACCGCCGACTTTTCGTCGGCCTGGTGGTTCCGGCGGGCTGAGAGGGCAGCCATTACTCGGAGGAGCTCGAGTGTGTCGGGGGAGCAGCAGCCGTATGTCTCAGTGGCGACTCCCAGCACCTTCACAAAGGTGAGTCGTTCGTCGTACAGGTCTCGCTTCTTGCCCTGCATCTCTGCCGCCATCCACCCCGTCCCCTTTCGTGCTGTTGGGTCGCGGGTTGAGATGGGGTCGGTGACTGTGACGTCACAGATCCATACCGCGCCTGAGTCCGGGCATCGGAGGGTGATGTCGGCGCGGCGTTGGGCAGTTTCGGGTAAGTAGAGCGTGGATTCCATGTGGGCCACGAAGTGGGATTCTCGGGCCAGTCGCATCCCGAGGTTCACGAGCGCGTCGTGGGTCCGCTTTGGACCCCCGCCTAGGGTGCACCGTAGCATGTGGTTGGGCAGCCGGTTGTCTGGAATCGCATGCTTTTCCTGGCAGTTGCATTTGCCGGGTAGGGAGTGCTGCAGGCCCATGCGGAAGGCTAGGGCCGTGGCAAATTGCCCCTTGCTCATGCTTAGGTCCGGGGAGAAGGGGATGGCGACCAGCCAGTCCCCAGACCCTGGCCCGAGCAGGGAGAGGAGGCGCTGGGTGTGACCCAGGAGGGGGTTGAGTGGCATGTGTCGGGAGTCTGCCACTAGCCGTGCGTGCCTGGCCCCGTGCACCTCCAATGCTAGGGCATGCTGGAGCTTGGCGCCAGGTTCGTCGCGCGGGCGGGTGAGTGTGGACTGCGCTGGTTCGGGGAGTGCCGCTTCCAGGCAGTTGAGCAGGTGGTGTAGGGGCGTTTGGGCGGTGAAGGGCGGAGTGAGGAGGTGGAGGAGGTCGGCGAGGGGTGAGGGGTGAGGGGGTTCCATGGAGCGGAGGAGGTCCCCGGCCTGTAGTGCGGAGGCCAGGTAGCTGTAGCTGCCTTCCGCGGCGGGGTCAATGAGGCCGAGGCCTCCGATGGTGATCGACAGGGTCGCCTGTCGCCAGAGGAGGTCTCGGCCTTCAGCGTCCCGTGGCTGCTGGAGCTCGCATGACTTGAGCGCGGCTTCCAGCAGGGACTTCCCCCACTGCGTCCATTCCTCGGGGGGGAGGAGGTCGGAGGGGGTGGTGCGGAGGAGGTAGGATGCCCTCCTCGTGATGCAGCGTGAGGAGCAGCAGCGCAACTTGGGGGTGCAGTTGCTCTACCAGGGGGAGCGCCGCTGCCGCTTTTTCGAGCGTGCGGCGGATGATGTTCCCGCATCCGTGGGTGGTGCCGATGGGGCTGCCCAGGACCTTGATTGCGTCGTGGGTGAGTGGTACTCCGGCGGGGATGAGCGCGGGATCCACCGGTGCGGGTGACCAGGCCGCGCACTTGCTGGCGTTGCAGGTGAGTCCAACCGCTGCTGCCCGACCTGTGAGGGCATAGAAGGCGGCTGCGCATGCCGGCGGCGGGTCGATGATGGTCACGTCGTCGGCGTATGCCAGTATGAGGACGTCAGGGTAGTCCTCTGCTGTCCTGGTCAGCGCCTGGTGGAGGGCGAGGGCGAACAGCATGGGGCCTAGCGGGTCGCCTTGCCGTACGCCCCGCTCGCTGATGAGCGGGTCAGCGCCGAACGCGTGGTCGAGCAGCAAGCTCGATGGCCTTCCATAGAAGAGGCGGGTTAGGGGCAGCAGCCCTTTGAGAGGGCTGTCGCGTAGGGCGCGGAAGAAGACGATGCGTTCGACTGAGTTGAACGCGTTGGAGAAGTCCACCTGGAGGAGGAGGTGTTCGGGGTGCTGTTCGAGGTGGGTTCTTGTAGCGTGCACCGCCGTCTCGCCCCCTCCCGTCTCGAAGTGGGCTTGGGCAAGGGTCGTTGTGAGGTGCAGGTTGGCCTTGCCGAAGAGGCGTAGTAGGCACTCGCCGATGGCGATGGGCCTGGTACCGCCGTCGGGTTTGGTGAAAGCCAGCAATCTCGAGGCGGTGAGGAGGTCCGCCGCCTCTAGCGGCACTTGCCCTGCGAGTGCCGCGTTGGTCACTTCTGTGAGCAGATTCAGGACGTCAGCGTTCGAGGCGGTTGCGTCCCGCAGATGTTCGAAGCACATACCGCTTGGCCCCGCCCCGACCCCATTCGGGCTCCGTCGAAGTACGGTTCTGAGCTCTCGTGGGGTGATGGTGAGAAGCGGCTGCTGCGGCTCTGCGGTGGCGTCGGTGGGTGGTGTGCTTGAGAATGTCGCCCAGTTGGGGAGGGCGTGTTCGGCGGCGGGGTGTTTGTCTCGGAGGGCGTCAAGTGTCTCCAAGGTGGGTTCGCACACCGGGGTGGATTCCAGGGCTTGGAGGGCCTTCCGCAGGTTTCCGCGCTTAGTGAGTGTTTCCGCTCGGGCTAAGTGCCCGGCAATGTCGTTCGCGTGGCGTGGGGGTCGTGGTAGTGAAATCGAGGTCACGGCCTCGTCGTACAATGAATCCCAGGCGCCGGTGGCGAATTTGCGACAGCGTCGTAACATTCCATCCCAGTCCGGCTTCCTCGTCGACGTGGTTGCGAGTGTCAGGCGAGGGAGGAGGAGTAACAGGCGCCAACCTCCTCTGCTGTCCCTGTTACGCGCGAGGTGTAGCAGCGGTGTCAGCAGCCAGGACGCGAACTCCGCCAGGATTTCGCGCGGTAGGCGACGTGCCAGGGGTGGGAGCCCGGAGTCGCGGAGCACGGTCATGTCCCACTCGCACCTTGGCGAAGAGTTCGTCGTTCTTCGCCAGCGCCAGAGGGGATTGTACCCGCGCTGCAGGGGTGGGTCTGCGGGCGACTGTCGAGCCGCGGCGGGTGTTGGATGCGGCGGCTCGCCGGTTGGATTGGCCGGGCCGCACATTTGCGTCTCGGGCGGGGGAGTCCTCCAAATCTCCCTCGTCTGGGGCGCCTTCCCAGTTTACCCCGATTGGAGGGGTATAAGTGGGGTCGTTTGCGTGTTGAATTTCATCGTCCTCATCATCAGCCCCCTCCGTGTTCCCTTCCGCTGCTCCCCGCGTAGCTCCTCCTCCTGGTGTGTCTGCAACTGGAGTGTCAGCACTTAGCCAATTTTTCGTCCCTCGGTCCGTCCCTCCGCCCCCGCCTGCTTCTGACTCCGTCGCTCCAGTGGCGTTGGCTGCTGCAGCGGCTGGGTGTGCTCCCCGGCGCCGATCTTCGCGTTGTAGACGCGCTGCGACGCCGCGGAAGGTTGCAGCGCCTGTCGACGCTCGCCCGAGCCCTCGTCCGCCCCTCGTTCCTCTGTGCCCTCGGGTTGTGCTTCTCGCCCGCTCCCCCCCCGGGGCCGCGGTTGTACTTGCGCGGGCCGTGGCTCGCGTGTGCGGGGCTCTGCTTCTTTCCGGCTGCGCTAGAGATGACGCAGGGGTTGCTCTTCTCCCCCTCGCGCCTGCCCCTACGTGAGGCGGAAGCGTCCCTGTCGCCGGTGGGTTCTCCTTCCGGCGTCTCGCTGGCTCTGTCGCCAACGTCTCAGCTGCGCTTGGAGTTTCGGCAGCAGCAGGTCCAGGTGGCAGCGATCGCGAGTGCTCTCGAGCAGCTTCTGCGGCTGCCTCGGTCCGTTGTTGGCGACCGGGTCGCGTGTTCTCCGCCGTCGCCTGCGCCCGCGCCCGCGATTGGACGAGAGGGTTTCGGGGGAAGTCCCATGGATCGCTCCCCGCGTCGCCCGTCCGCCCTGTCGCCGGTTCAGCCGTCGTCGTTTCCTTCTCCGTCTCGGCTTCCGCCGTCGCCCCTTCCAGTCCCCCCGGCCCCTGTGGCTCCCCCTCCGTCGAGGGGGTTCGCCGGTGGTCCCGACTCCTCTCCCCGCGGGGTCCTCCAACCGCCTCCTCTGCTTCCTCCAAAGTCGCCAGCGGGACCACCAGCCGCTGTTGGACACGACGTCGTATCGGGTCAAGGCGTGTCCGCGGGGTCTCCGCCACTGGCGTTTCGTCCGATGAAGCGTCCCCGCGGGGACGCCACGGCGGGCTCTCGGGCAGGGTCACCTCCGACCGTAGTGCGCGGAAGACGAAGGGACCGCTCTCCACCTCTCTCCGGTCGTCCTCAGGGGTCGGGTTTGCGGGTGGGGTGGGGAATGCCGCCGACACTAGTGGATGTGCTCGGCGACCCGCCGCCGCTTCCTCGTCCGCCTGCCCGCCTGGCGTCGCCGCACGCGTTCTCGCTAGTTGAGGCGATGGCCGGCGTCGTCGCATGTATTGGCGCGGTGGCGGAGGTGCTGGATTGTCTCCGCCCACCGCCGCTGCAGGCGCCTCCACAGAAACCTGAGGCGGGACGGTCGTGGCGGCCCGCAATGTCTCGCCGCCAGCAGCGACGCGCGATGGAGGCCGCGTCGCTACTCCTCTGGCGGCTGGCCTATGGGTTGCCGCC